ATGGTCCATTTTCAATACCAAAAGTCCTGCAGACATAATATACATTTGAGTAAAATTTTATCAATCTACTTCATTTCGTTCGGAAGCTAGAGTAATTTCCACAGACGGATAGACGGACCAATATCGCTAAAACGACATAGAATTTAATGCTGATTAGGAATATATATACTTTGCGGGGTCTAAATTGTATATTTCGAGGTGTTACAAACGGAATGACAAACTTAATATACCCTCCATACCATGGTTGAGGGTATAAAAACTGCGGCTTCTGTCCATAAAAGAAAGTATTCAATTGATGAAGATTTGAGGAAGGTCTTCCAGCAAGAATCATGGATTTAGAATTTCTATAGGTCTTTTCCCAATCCATCAGACCCTCCAAAGGGTTATATGGAAAACTTCTTGGTGTCTGCGCCAAATATTTACTCATCCATTTAACAACTTGATGCGGACATGAATTGACGTGTCTCGTTTTCTTTTTGCGCAGACATCAGTGCGTGATTCCCAATATTTTCGTATTAGCACGATCATAATTGACAAATAAATAATATTTTTTCATATAATTTACTAACCAATTAAGATACACGCATATATCCCCCCGGAAAATATTGCAAATCATTCTAAATTTATACCCAAACAAAAATATGCTTTGTCTGGCATTTTCCAAATGACAAATGACGGTGCCGGACACCAAGCAAAATGCCACCAATAAGCACAAAATAAAATCTTAAAATAGCTGTGGGTTCGTGTTAATCAATTATGTGGCAGTCTATGGGCAACGTAACAAAAATATACAAAATGGGAAAAATAGAAAGAAATGGCGGAAACTGAAAAAGAAAATAATAAATTATTTTTGCCAATACTCAATTTTTAATGAAATGAATCAATAGTTTGCCCATCGAAATAAGTTCGAAAATGTTCAAGTGCTTAAATACTATTTTTAAAATTTATTCTCATAAATCAAATTCAATATTTGATTTTGTACAGTGATTTGGAAAGGAAAAGATTTGAAAAACAGAAAACAAGTTCGGGTTTAAAAATCCGTATATCAGGGGTTACAGTTATATTGGGTTATGCGAAAACGCGGACCTTTACAGCCAATTATCTGTCAGAGAAAGTGATGCCTATTACAAACTCCAATACAAAGTTTAGAATAGTTCTGTAGAAAAATGTAGCTAAAATCATCAACATTTCGAATATTGGAAGGTACAGTTATATGGGACCTATACGAAGAAATGAATGTATATGGGCAATTTTTCAGTCATAGAAAGCAGTACCCATTACAAACTCCAAATACCAAATTTGAAACAAATCGTCAAAATACTAAATATCGAGAGGTCTAAAACTGGTACCTATATGTACAGTTCTCTGCTTTAACTAAGACACCCAAAACGCTTTAAAACTGTAGTTATGGTTTTATAGGGCCTACAGGGTGATTAAAAAAACACAACAAAGTCAAACGCCATAATTTTTACATTTTTTACACTTATTGAATGAAAACAAAAAATGTCGCATCAAATTCTAGAATAAGTTCAGATTTTTTCGAATTGGTCACCTTTTCACGAATTATGGCCTTCAAACGGCCAATGAAACCGTCACACTCTGCCCGAATATTGCTCTGAGGTATTCTGGCCCATTCCAGGCGAAGCGCTTGATTTAGGTGATGGACACTTTGGTATTTTTTAGTGCCAACCTTGGTATCCGAATTGGTATCCGTAGATTTTGGTGGCCATTGTGCGCTGAAAATGGAGCGAGGAACCTCATTTTGTAACCATACTTGGGTGGCGCGTGCTAATTGCGATTGTGCTGAATCCAGTTGGAATGTCCAAGGCCTGTGGCCAAAATTTTTGCGTGTCCAGAATATTTTCGCGATAATATTCGGCATTTATTCTGATGCCACGGTCGATTAATACGAGCGGAGAGCTACCATCAGCTGTTATGGCGGCCCACACCATCACAATGACCGGCGCTTGAATTCTAGTGGCCAACCGAAGGTGTACATTTTCAGCTGACCTCTTCGGCAAGTAAACACGATCATTCTGTGTGTTTACAAACTGCTGAACGACGAATGTTTTCTCATCGAAGAAAACCAAATTCGACAGATCACCACTTTCAACCAAGCGAAGTAACTCTTTAGCTCTTTTGAGTCTATTTTCTGTCTGCTGCGGTGTAAGTTCTTGCTCTTTTTGGAATTTCAATGACTTTACTCCGAGCTGATTTTTCAAAGTTTGCCAAATAGAATATTGCGATATGTTCAGCTCACGAGCCATTTTTCGGCCACTACGACGCGGGTTTCCATTAATTTGGTCTTCACTTTTCGCATCATTTCTGCTGATGTTGCTGTTTTCTTCCGTCCACTTCCTTGACGTGGGGCTACGCTACCAGTATCACGGTAATAAGCGATGGTACGAGACACACGAGATTTATTCACATTTAAATGCTGGAGTGCTCCAACAATAGCCACTTGTGGTTATCCAGCCAAATATAAAGAAATCACACTATCACGCTTGAATTCCATCATGAAAAACCTTTTTTTCTGGAAATTTCTCACCAAAATGCTTTTTTACGCTTGTATACAATATAATGAGCTGTCACTGGAATAATTTTAACAGCTGTCGGACGAGTGGCTTAGAAATGACAGCAGTCTGAAGTTGGTTGCAGTTTTTGCATCTAACCCTGTATACCAAAACGCGGACCTATTTAGGTCATTTTCAACACCAAAAGTACTGCAGACATATAGCATATCTGAATCAAATTTTATTTTTACTTTTTATTTGTTTATATTTTTAAATTATTTTTATATATTAATTTATTTTAAATATATATGTTTTTTATTTTTTTGAACCACTGTTCTCCGTTGGGATTCGTACTCATAACACCCATTTTGCACGCTTCACTTTTGTCTTGAATGTATGTCTGTCTTCTATTCATAAATTATCTCTTCTTAGAAAAAAAGCAAACGTCAACATAGTTTTATCAATGCTCATGAATGAAAGTTATTGATGCAATGACGATGATGTCTAAATACTTCACTTCAAAACAAGCTTGTCAATACCACAAAAAAAGAAAAGATGAAATCTAAACTAAAACAAATTTTAGCCCACAAGAGAATTCTAAATATATCTACGTATGATTTATTATTTTAATATTAAAAACGGAGTTATACGTCACAATTACATTACGAGTGTCAGCAATATGCAGATAAATCCATTGAAATACTACCAAATAATTCTGTGTGACAGCTGGATAAAATATTAAACATGGACATTGATTTCAAGTTAATCATCAGAACATTGCGGATTGCAGCCGAAATATTTGAACTCAACTCAACCACATAACTCATGTACTTTAGAGAAAAAGAAGACTCACATTAAGAGGGAAAGAAAAGAAAGAATTGCACATAAAGGAGGCTCTCTAATCAGGGAAGATCAACAGATAAATTGCATTATTGGATCTATGAGTCCATTACCTACATCAATTCATTCCAGTTCTAAATATATCATATACTGAAGACCTATGTGACATATTTTGCCCATACCAACTTGAAAAAAGTCCATCTATTAATCTTCTTGGAAAATATTTTGCAAATCCGCAGGATTTTCGTAATGTAGTATTAGAAAATATCGCATTTCTGCCCGAATTAAAAGCATAATCCTGAGACAGATATTGGTCTTATTCCGAAAATTGTCTATGGAGATTAAAATTTTCAGCCATTGTCTGGTTCAGATTGACACTAAAGATAATTCGTAATGTAGTATTAGAAAATATCACATTTCATTCCGAATTAAAGGCATAATCCTGAGACAGATACTGGTCTTATTCCGAAAAATGTCTATGGAGTTGAACTTTTTCAACCATTGTCTGGTGCAGTTTGAAACTAAGGATAAATTTTACACGTTTTCCATAGATAAATAATCTTTAACAAGTTTTCTATATACAGGATCCGCAAATAACTTTCTTTCTTTTAATTCTATGAAAAAAGTAATAAATATTTTCTAATTTTTTTTTTTTTTTATTTGAAACTGCAATCCTTGCGTTTAATAATAGAAAATATTTTCATTCAAATGTCTACCTCGACTGGCCAAGCAGTAACCTAAACGATCGGTTCAAGCTCAAGCGGTTAAGCTCATTCTCTCTGTATTTCAGGAATGGCTTCGCGAATATAGCCCTTTAAAGCGTCAATTGTCTCTGACTTGTCGTCATAACATTTATCTTTGACGACCCCCACAAATAATAGTCCAAAGGTATCAAATTACAGCTCGGAGGTGGCCAACGAACATCAGCTCTACGACTGATAATGCGATCTTCAAAAACGGGGCTCAAAACTTAGGCTGTGTAGCACATGACGTCGTCCTGTTAAACTCAGATGTTGCCAACATCGTACTCATCAATTTTTTGTGAGCAAGAATTAGTTCCGCCACCGTCAACGCCACTCATAGCTTATTTTCAAAAAAGCCAAATTATGCCTCTGGGTGGATGACATTTTCACTGTAGGTATATGGGTTTTCTGTGCCTTAAATGTGAAAATTTTGCTTGTTTACATGCGGAGCTGACGGGGCTTCTATTCTCCCAATTTTCGCACACAGCGGAAGGATAAAACTAATCAAAGCCGACTAGACATGAGCTAAGCGTAAAAAAATTGTAAAAAAGTTAGACGGCGGACCCTGTATTATATAGCCTCTAGGATCTGCTCTGTTGTTTTCTCTATAGTACAAATATGGTGGAGTAGTTTCTGGTTATTTCATTGAAAAAAACAATCTTCATTCATTCTTTTTTCGCTCAATTCATTCCTGAACAAATAAATCTGTTATTTTTCAGTTCCAAAACACTTCTAATAATTGTCAACACTTCGAATCAATGACTAATCAATCAAACAAATTCCACTTAATTTGGAGAAATGACATACCTACATCCAGCTGTCACATGGAATTACAAAAAATAAACCAATTAACAATTATTCAATAAACATTAATAACGACAAGCACTTAACTCCACACACTCACCTGTTAGACGAAAAGCAGCCGCATAAACTCACACGATGGGAAAAACACAAACAACAAAACAGCTGTTCGTCGTTACGATAATCCAATGAAATTCCTCGGCTTAAGCACACGATGCCACTGTGCAGCTGGTGTAATAGATTTGATTTGTTTTTGTTTTGATTGTTTTCTATTTCCGCCGCCCGCCAAATGACAGAAAGTTAATAAAGATGACGATATAGAACCCGGAGCAAGATGATGGGAATCACAAAAAAATATATTGTTGGTATTGTTGTAGTTGAAATGAGGAACCTCAGCGGAACAATGGATTTCTTTATTTTCTTTTTTAACTTTGGTCACAATACAAAGATAATTTTTTCCACAATAAGTATTTATGATTTTTTTCTTTCCGAATATCTAATCTCAATTTTTTTATTTTCTGGTTTTATTTAATTTGGAATTTTTGTTGTTGCCTGCCTCTTTTTTATTTCCCTGCTTGTGGGAGGCCAGGCAGTCGTCGCACGCAATTTTTTTTTATTTGGTAATCAATCCACCACTTGAGAAATTTTTTCCTTATTTCCTTTCTTTTAAACAGAAGAAGACCATTGTATTGTTTATTATTTTGGTGTGAAAGGGGGTCGGAGCACTAATCGATCACTTTACTTTGTTGATACTATTATGCTTGTTGTTGTTGGTAATTTATTTTCGTCATAGACATTAAAAGAAAGAAAAACTCTCGTTTTTTGTTGTTTAGAAGAGTTATTAACCACAATCTTCTTGTCACACAATAAAAACAATAAACTCAAACACAAATACTAAGCCCCATGGAAAGATGGGGGCATAATTTCGTTATATTTTCTATTAAAAATTTCTGCTTTACTTAACTTTTTTTTGATACACACAACACAGGCACAGAACAATTTTTCTTTTCTTCTTCATTGAAATGCCATTGCAGCCAAATACAGAGATGAGGACACCAATCAATTATATTTTGCAATTATTTCTTTATTTTTGCTTTCTGAATTTTTACTCTTTTTTTATTTATATCTTAAATTCACATTTCATTAATTTCTCTCTGTTAATGTAATGTAAATGAATGAATGTGAACATTTCTGAAGACAGCTGGACAAAGTTATCGTGCTGACTTCGAAGTTCCTTTTAGAAAATTTGCCGCCGTTGCAACAACGACATATGTTTGCTTTGTTAGTGTTTAATGACGACGTATCTTAACGTATCGTGTTGTGTACGTGTTATTGACAGGTTATTACATCTTTCCGATAGATAAAAAATGATGTTGTCTGGCAAATAAGTCGTTTTTCGTTATTACAAGTTTTATTTAAATATGAACTGTCCGATAAGCAAAAAGTCAGACCATCCTCCCTTTATATTTTAACGCAAAGTTTACTGAATTCATGTTGCCATATTTTGTAGCAAAATGTATTCAAATAAAAAAGGGATAACGCAAATAGTTTATTTTATATTAAAAAATATTTTGAAGATTTATTTCACTACGGAAAAATGCACATTTACAATTTGCCATACCTCTTAAAACAATACATATATTTTAAAGGAAATATGTAATAATGAGAACCCGATAATGTGAACTTTATCCTTCACTGTTCCTAAAGTAAGGGATAACAAAAGTGGACTATAATGGAAAGATGGATTGAAAAACTATGAAATGTGTTTTGAAAGATGAAGAAAGACCTGACAATTTTCTCCTCTAAACAATGGTATTGACATTTGGTTTTCATAGCCCTGAGCTTTGTATCCTGTTCTAGGCGGATATGGAAATAAAAGACCTTTTAGGGTTGTTCAAAATACACAAATAGGTGTGTCTGGTTACCCTAAAGTTTGTAACAATTGTTACAAATTGTTACTGGAAGTCGTCTGTTAACCCGAAAGTTCTGCAAAAGAGAGCGGTTGGAGAGAGAAATTTTGACAGTTCTTTCAGTGAGAGTTTGCAAATTCTTGCTGGAAAAATTTCTTCTTGCAATCTCTTGCAACTCTTCTTCTTCTCATTCATCGACATTCAATCAGATGTTTTCTATTGTTTATTTATTTCTTTTTGCGATTTTAATTTGAAAATATTGTTTTGGAATTAGCAAGACTAATAGTTTTTGGAGAACAACTTTACAAAATGTGAAAAACGTAAATGTTAATATGTAATAAGAAAATAAAAGACTATTTCCAAAATTTTTATTTAAAAAAAAAACTTGTAATATTAGTATTGCTTCCTTTGTTTTAATTCTCCTTATGGGGGACAAATTGGTTTGTTTTGACAAATCAGCTGATTAGTTGCAAGCTTCTGCAGGAATAGTGTCTGTTTACTTTTCGCATTTTCCTTGCAAAAGAGAATAAAACTACCTTACTCTCTCAGAAAGAAGTTGCTGGACAATTCCTGCTGGAAAAGTAACCAGACACACCTAATGTATGTTAACGAATTCCAAAGATAGAGAAAGTTGAAAAAAGGGATTATAAATAAAGCTACTTGTTGTATAATATTGTTAGAATCACCATAAATACATAACAAACAAATTGTGTTTGATTTTTTTCACCGATAACGGAAAAAGTTATTACACTTTACAAAACTCCAACGCAAATGGTCTCTTTATAGAATTTTCAAATCTTTGAACAGTTTTTTGTGTGTTTATATATGTATTTCTCGAATTCAAATTATAACGATCATCCTACTATTTTAACTATTTTAAAGTAGTACAATCGAACGCCAAATGCAGGTATTTGTTCTGTTCCAGTACTGCAAGAATGTAAAAGTTTTTACAACGATAGCCGATTTTTCCTTTATGATATCGAAAACATTGCAAACTAGTAGATTCTTTCAGATTCTGGAACAGAGCAATTATCTCATTGGGGTGTACAAGTTTTTCTTGTGCGGGAACTATTTTGCTGGCTTTGGCAGACACCTATTGTTTTTGTTGTTGTTCAGTACTTTGTCCGATATTATCGATGGTAAAACCTTTCAATTAATACTCCCTATTAAAATAAAGTATCGATAACATTGCCATCGATAGTTGGTCAGCTCTAACACACAAACAAACATCCAAGACTTACTTTTTCCGGTGTTTGAGTGTTTGAAATACACTACTACTAACTACTTGTTGAATTCCAAAGCAAATTAGACGTTTATTAATTAATTAAAGTTTAAAAAAAACTAATTGTTTATCTATACGCTAAACATCACTTCCCGAAATGTCCCAAACTGCCCTTTTACCACGTGAATCAGGCGAATATATTGTGAAAAATGCCAAATACCTAAAGGTTTTGGAGACCGGCATAGAGAAGCTTACCCAGGAGATCATCAAAGGAATACAGGAAAAGGTGATTGATGTCAACAATTTCTCCCAGCACGATTTGCATCCAAAGCCCTCGGATGCACATGCCGTTGAGTGGATATTTGTGGTGGATACTTTGAATTTCTGTTTTTGGACACCAAGTGAGTTGGATTGGAATGGAAAAATATTTCACTAGTAAAATAATATGATTTTTATATTTTAGCTGATTACACCAAATACAAGGTTAATGGCTACACGGGCTACTTTGCTCTGTGTGCTGCAATTAACCGCGCCATGAAGGATGGTTTGGACATTATCAATGCCGATTATTACAGTAAAATAGATTTGGAGACTGTTAAGCATATTTTTCGTTCAGATGATGGAGAAACCATGGTTCCCCTGTTGGAGCAGCGTGTAAAATGTTTCCATGAAGTTGGCCAACGTTTGTTGGACAAATGGCAGGGTAAATTTGAAAATGTTATTCATGCCGCCAATGGTTCAGCTTTGGAGCTGTTGAAATTAATCGTCCAAGAATTCCCCTGCTTTAGGGATGAAGCAGATTTTGCGGGCAAACGTGTTTCGCTCTACAAGAGGGCACAAATTTTAGTTGGTGACGTATGGGCATGTTTCCGTGGTGAAGGTTTGGGGGCATTTACAGACTTGTATCACATTACCATGTTTGCTGATTATCGAGTACCACAAGTGTTGGTACATTTCGGATCATTGGAATACAATGACGAGTTGATGGAGGTTTTAAAATCGGATAAAATTTTACAAAATGGTGAACCCATGGAAGTGGAGATTCGTGGAGCCTCAATTTATATTGTGGAAAAGGTCAAAGATCGTGTACTACAAGAGTTGGAGCAGAAACATCCTGAAATATCGAAGGATAATGTCAATTCCATACTAATTGATCACTTTCTGTGGGACTATCGCCGTAAATATGCCAAAGAATTGGAATATATACCATTCCATAAGGTGCTGAGTGTTTATTATTGATTGTATAACAAAAAAAAAACGAACAAGTGTGCCTATTCTATGTTGACAAACAGGAATTTCTTGTGATAAAAATAAATGTTAAGAAAACATTTGTAAATGGGAGTTCCGTGCTGCATTCAAGAAAAGCAAAGGTGATACTCAAGAGAATAAGGGAGTTTATATCAAAACAAACTTGAACACGGAACACTTATCACTTTTAGGAAGTCTGGAAATATGAAAAGCAAGCAATTTTTTTAAGGTAAATATATGGATTGCTTTTTTTAACATTCCCAGGTGAAGATTCTGGCCATAGGACATATATCAAGTTCTTTACCATATTCGAAATTGCAGCTTTGACGGACCGTTCTTAATATGATAAGCCAAAATTTCCATGAGGGTCAAGAGTAACTTTTTACATAGTTCTTGGAAAACTGGTTCGTAGCAAAAAGAAAGAAGCATTTTGTCTTGTTTCAAAGAGGAAGTTTCTTATTAGAGGTGGAGAGAAATTGCAATGCAAACAATTACAAATCAAATAACAAATATAGTGACAATCAGAATTATCTTTGGATTTCGTACTCACATCAAGTGTCTAGTTATTTGTCATTTTTATACCCTACAACACTATGTGTTGGGGGTATTATAAGTTTGATTGGGCCAAAAATTATGTAACCACGAAATATTGATTTCCCACGTAGGAAAGTATATATGGATCTTCCTATTTCGCCGAGCTGAGTCGATCTAGCTATGTATGTCCGTCCGTCCGTCCGTCTGTCCATGTTAATTTGTAATCACGCTACAGGTCGCAATTATGGCCCGATCTTCACGAAATTTAGAATGGAGGTGGGGTTAAGGTCAGAATAGAACCCTATTTCTTTTGGAGATCATCGCATAATATTTAGAGGTTGAAATGGACCAAAAACTGAAAAATTTCTTGATTTTGCAGTTGCTATACAGGTCGCAATTATAGACCAATAGACGCTGAAGTTAGCACGGGGCTAGAGCTTAAGGCTGGACAGAAGCCTTCCAATTTTGATGGTCATCGGGTAATATTTAGTGAGTGAAATAGGACACACAACATTTGTGTTAAATAAAAGTCATATTTTCCATTAAACCGCGAATATTTTTAATCCCGGCGAAATCACAAATAGATGAACAGGTCAATTCTGGCCGTCACGTAGATGCCGATAGTAAATATATCGGATACATGTAGCGAAATATATACAATGTATATATACGAAGGGAGGGGATGTTAGCTAGAATGCATATAGCTCATGAATGGCTGGACAGATTTTAACAAATTTTGTCAATTCTGAATGCTCTCTTGGCATAAAAGGATAAAATGTAAAAAAAAAAATCGTATAAAATGATGTCAATAATGATCTAAATATAGATTTTGTAGTATTTTGTGACATTTTTTTATTTTTTCATTTTTTTATCGCATGCGATTTTTTCAATTTGACTTATAATATTGAAGTGTATATTTTGTAATATTTTTTTACCTTACAGATTACAATTTTCGTCCGATCATCACGAAAATTTTTTGACAAGGGTAGTGCTAGACTCAGAATGGCTAGACCAATTGTTTGCAAAGATGTCCGCAATATATTTAGAAGTTGAAATGGACCAACAACTAAAAATGTTCCTGATTTTGCAGCCATTATAAAGGTCACAAATCGAAACCAGTGGGCAGTGCTCCGTGATAAAATTTCAAATCGAAATCTTCCAAAATGGATTTGGACATAAGGGGGTTGTAGGGTATCACATGGTCGGCCCCGCACGACTATAGCCTTTGCTCACTTGTTTTAAAATAAATAGATAAGCGAGCAGGTAAATTTTATACCTTTTGCCACTAGGCACACTTTAAAATATACACAGCTACAGCAGAACACCAAGTAGATTAGGAATTCGTGACAATGGTAATTCTGTTTCTGGAGAACGAGTATAGTCCTTAAGATTTACCCAATATGCTCCTTACGTGCATTTTTCATTCATTAGAGCTCGCCTCAATGAGGGTTATATGAATGACACATAATATCATCTTGTAAGCTGGGTTTTTAAGAGTAGTTTCATTTGGTTTAAGGATCCGCTGGCACACTGGAGTTGATCGATGATTCACTCGGAGCTCTCTGTTACCTTGCGTTCATCCTAGGAAGAATTATTACTGATTGGAAGAAAGTGAAAAAAGGTAGAATGAAAGACGTGTAGAATGGTTTTGGTAGTAGGGTGGTTAGCCTCGCCAGGTGATGTTTTTTGCAAACCTATAGATGATGATAGGCGTTAGAGTTTCGCATACACTATTGTAGTCAGGACCACGGCTATCCTTTTTTAAAGTCATATATCTGATACGGCAGAGGTTAGTCAATATACCCCACCTGCTAATTCGTAGAAGGGAACCGGTATTTCTTTTCGTGATTGCCAGATGACCTCAGCAAACTTTGAACCGGTTTCCAAACGTAATGTCCTGTCAGATTTTTCGGTGAGAGTCGTCATGAAGCACCTGACCTAATATCTTATCGCAGTCTCATCAATAGTTAAATCAAACGACTGGGAACCACACCGAGCTAGCTTATTACCTACTGTATTGCTATGTCTAGAGATCTAGCGAAGTTAAAAGGACTCGCGAAAGACAGTTTAATTTCGGTGTCTCTTCCTCATTGAAGTTGCTTGGGGGACAGACATTAAAAAAATACAGCGTTTGGGTCACATAATACCAAGCTTTGGCAGATTTATCACGGACTGCTACTACGTTTTGTCCAGCAACACTCCGAACTCTTCACGTACAACGTCGTCTTTTAAAAATATACAATTCTCCGGAGCAAATTGTGTTTAGGGGCTATGCTCGGATTTGTATGACATTTTTCGTGGAAGACTCGGATACGCAGGTCCAAACGAATCGATATGGGTATTATATGAAAGCTTATGGAATTGCAAATTAACATGAAATTTACATACATAGCCTCACAAACTCTGGACATACACCAGGCACTAACGAGACTTAAGAAACCTTTAACTTGGGAGGTATAGACATTTGCAAGAAAGACAATAACGTTGTTTTTAGGACCCCGAGGAGTTCCTGGGCTAATAATTTTAAAATGATCCCATACCTAACTTGTTCGTATAGAAAATAATAATCCAAGTTATTTAAAAAGATGGTCAAACAGGAAAGGAAAAAATGGATGGATGGATATTTCCCAAAAGCAAAATCAACAAAATTCGTAGTTCAACTTCAATTATTAGGATCTCCATAGAACCGAATCAGTTAAATGCCAGAACAATTCTGTTAGAGGTATACCTCTTTGTTCTTGTTTAAGGACAAACTTATATTTCCGACACATTGTATTTAAATCTTCCGAAAAAAAACTCATAAAAGAATGGGTAGGACGGTAATGATTGGAATGTAATTTGAAGAGTGCCCTCTTGAGCTTTGCGATGACAATTTCTTTACTTTCGTTGCATAAATAATATTCTAAGATCTTTTGTTAGCTGATTGCCATCTCAATTTAAGCCTACGCATACATTTCGGACAAAAATATTTTTTAAGTTCCACTAATTGTTTCACGGCAGGTTACCAATGTTTACAGCGACAAATAAAATCTTTGCACAATATCTCCTTTCAAGTCGCTCTTCAAATAAATGTTGAAACGCATTTCATTTTCTTTTTTCAAAGAATCATTTTTTCTGTTTGTTTATTTTCTTAGAAAACACAAAGCACACAACACCACCACTCTATTCTTGGAGGGAAACAGGCTTCTTCTTGCCGGCTTGGGCGGCAACGCGATCCTTGTAACGTTGGTCAGCCTCGGCGCGGGTCAAGTTGTTCTTGCGGGCGAAACGTTGGTTGGTCAAGAATTTGACATCCATCTGAAAGATAATAATAAAAAATTTTAATTAATTTGAGATTAACTACCACAATATGTATTTAATACTTACACCCAAAGTGGATTCATGGCGTTTACGCATTGGGCGCTTGATGCCATTACGATGGGCTTTTCTGTTTTGGTTGTGGTTGGTGTGATTCTTTGACTTGGCCATTGTACGCTAAGAACTATAGGGGTCATACAGTGAATTAATGTTCCATTATCATTGTCATTTCATCAAAAACAACCCGCGAAGATGATCCAGAGGAATTCCACACAAACATAATCCAATTCAATCAGCAGCGCACAAAAATAGAAATTAAATAAAATTCATTAGTTTTCTTCCAACACATTTCAAATTCCATATATTGTTTATATTTTCACATTTCTTTATTTGGTTTCTAAGAAAATAATCATAAAATCTTTGTTAAAATTTTATTCCATCAACCTACGTTTTTGACGTTTTAGCGGAAAAGAAGGGAGATTTTTTTCATGTTTTCAGCTGTCATTTTTGTTCGAATTTTCGAAAAGTGTGTTTAGTGAGCATTGTAGAGGTTTTTGCTGTTTCAGCGGTGTTGCCAGATTTTAATGAGTATTAAGTTGGAAAAATAAAAGAAAAATTTGTTAATTTCTTTTTTGTTATTGTAACAAAAACAAGACGAAAACACGAGTTTTTTTGTATAATAAACAATCAGTAAAATTGTTAAAAAATTGCAGAATAGGCCCAAAGAAATATTGTCCAATTAGGAAATAGATTTCACTCATGGTTCAATAAAATGGTGTAGTAGAGAACATTAAAATTGTTTCTGAGTGTGCCCGATTTCCGCCTATTTTGTGTTTTCTTGCTTTTTAATTAACTTCAAAAATTACGAGAAATATCAAATAAATAGAAACGACTTTTTGCATATAATTTTAAATTATTCTGAAAGAAAAGCGAATAATGTGTCGGACGTCACGGATTTTCGGTAATGTTTATGATCTACCGGTGATTTCTATGTTCTACCTGAAAATTCTTGTATTGTGGTTTAAAGTATCAAAAATGCAGTTCTGTCATGGCATAAGATTCACTGCAACGCATCTTTTTGCGTGATCACTAATGAATTTTACAAGAGGGTGATGCAATGCATTTGCAGTGCTCTCTCGACCATGCTACCGACATCCTTCATAGTTTGCAATGTTATCGTTATCAGATTGAAACAAATTGATGTTTTCATTGAAAGTTTCTCCCAAGCATGGTAGAAACATATAGATAGACGCATCGGCGCAGCTACTGGGACAATAAACTGTCAAACTAATTTTGGAATTGGAAATATTGAATGAAAATTTTTTTAAATTTGCAAAAATTGTTGAAAAACGCGAATTATAATAACCTCCATAAACACAAAAATCTGCTTATATTTGATAGAACATTTAAAATTTTTTGACACATAAATGTTCCCAAGCGTAGATGCATCTACCTCATGGTAGAAGAATATAGGTAGATGCATCAACGCTTGAGAACATTGATATGTCAAATGTTTTTAAATGCTTTATCAAAAATAAGTAGATTTTTAAATGTTTTTTATACGACGCCAATGGGAGTTTGTTATAATATGCATTTTTCAACAATTTTTACAAATTTTAATAATTTTTCATTCAACATTTTCAATTCCAAAATCAGTTTGACAGTTCATTATCCCAGCAGCTGTGTCGATGCAACTACCTGTATTCTTCTACCATGCTCCCATGTGAATAAAACTCCAATCGAATAAAAAATGTGCACGATAAGAAATTTTAAGAAATTTTGAATAGTTTATTCTAATCTTTCAAGGTAATTTGTTTTCAGTTATTTTCCTTTTTCATATTTTTTCCGAAAATTATTTATTTGACATCTCATTGTCAAAATGCTTTTTTATGAATTCATTGCACATAACAAATTTTTATTGCAAAAATCAAAAATCAAACAACTTGTTGCATTTATTTTGAATAAATAATTGAAAATCGCGATAACTGAATGAAAGGTCAACACTTCTTTTCAAAATCATGTACTATATATCTCTAAAGGATTATTTCGCTACAAAAACTCTAGACATTGTCGATGCATGCGTTGATATGAAACTTTGAAAACACCCGAATTTGAATGTTTTCTGAACAATTTTTTTGTTATTGAAAAGAAATCAAATACATAAACAAATAAAGATGACATATTAGGCCAAGAAATTAAAAAAAATTAAAATCATATGGTATCATTGCCCTACCTTGATATCATTGTACCATGCTTTTTATCAAGCTTTTTCCTTGTTATTGCTTTTAAAAACTTTACATATAAATAAAAAACATTGAGGAAATGCCAGAAAAAATGCCAGAACGAACCATTTTTTCAATTTCCATTTACCTTACTGCTACAATCAGAAATAAGAATTGCAATTGTATTAAGAAATCGATGTTGTGAAAAATCTACGGCATTCCTTTCATTTTCCCAGATTTGCTCTTAAATTATATAATATTGTGAAAAAGTGTTAAATAAACAAAACAAGTTGTTGTATTTGTTACTATTAGTAATTTCAAGTTGCAAGACTCATTCAATCTGCCCGACCTTGTAATAATTATATCACTTTCTTCATTCTCGCTCCTTCATTGATTTGCAAGTGAATGCGAAAGATAAAGCGTATTACGAAGGTGTTAATTAATTTTTATTTAACTAAGTAAATCAAACATTAAAAAACGTATTTTCTTTTACATTCACTTTCGTATAGGCTGAATTCTTGTTCTGGGAAAATATGAAATCAAAAATATTTCCCTCATAACATTTATCATTTGATATTTCTTTTCTTCCTAAAAGCTTTCATTTCACATTTTCATCGAACAATAATTGTACCCCAGAGCCTCAATTCTCAATACAATTATTTTTATTAATTTATATCCAATTATGTCTTTCCGATATCCCACACAAAAAAGTAAAACAGCCGCCCATAAATTACTTAATCTCAACATTGTAAACCGTCCAGTGTTTCATACACATTACATCCCCTCTTTGGGTATTTTTACAACGAAATACAACCCTACTGCTTTCAATGACATGACAGCCAGCCGGTGAGCTGTGTTCTGTTTACTTAAGAAAACACAGTGTTGCATGGCCTGTCATTCTACGTTGAAGTTTATTATCGCACGCACGTGGTGAATCTTTTGAATAGGAAACGTCGGTCCGCGTGTTTTGCTACCGTGCCTTTTCTTCAATTCAAGTAGTGAAATTTTGTAAATTTTCAATTAAATTCAAATATGGGTAAACCTGGATTCTCACCAAGAGGAGGTGGTGGTGGCGGCGGAGGTGGCCGTGGAAGTTTTGGAGGCGGTGGACGTGGTGGTGGCGGAGGCCGTGGAGGTTTTGGAGGAGGTGGTCGTGGTGGTGGCGGCGGTGGCCGTGGAGGCAGTGGTGGCCGTGGAGGTTTCGGTGGACGTGGAGGTGGTGGTGGTGGCCGCGGAGGTGGCGGTCGAGGAGGCTTTGGTGGTCGCGGTGGCGGCGGCCGTGGAGGTGGTGCTGGACGTGGCCGTGGAGGCGGTGGTGGTGGTGGCTTCAAAGGTGGCAAAACTGTTGTCATCGAACCCCATCGTCATGAAGGTATTTTCATTGCTCGTGGCAAAGAAGATGCCTTGGTTACCCGCAACTTTGTACCTGGCTCCGAAGTCTATGGAGAAAAACGTATCTCTGTCGAAACAAATGGCGAGAAAGTTGAATACAGAGTTTGGAATCCTTTCCGTTCCAAGTTGGCTGCTGCCGTCTTGGGTGGTGTTGACAAAATCCACATGCCTCCTGGCTCTAAAGTATTGTATTTGGGAGCTGCCTCCGGTACAACAGTGTCACATGTTTCCGATGTTGTTGGCCCCGAAGGTCTTGTTTATGCTGTAGAATTCTCACATCGTTCTGGTCGTGATCTGATAAATGTAGCCAAAAAACGCACCAACATTATCCCCATCATTGAAGATGCCCGTCATCCACACAAATACCGAATGCTTGTCGGTATGGTCGATACGATCTTTGCTGATGTCGCCCAGCCTGATCAGGGTCGTATTGTGGCCCTTAATGCCCAACATTTCCTTAAGAATGGTGGTCACTTTGTCATTTCCATTAAGGCTTCCTGTATCGATTCGACCGCCCAACCTGAGGCTGTATTTGCTGCCGAAGTCAAGAAGATGCAAGCTGACAAATTGAAGCCACAAGAACAGATTACCTTGGAACCCTATGAACGTGATCACGCTGTTGTGGTTGGTGTTTACAGACCGCCACCCAAGGGTTCCGATTAATAACCCAAAAAGCATTTAGTTATTTTGAATGTTTTATTTTTAACTGATAAACAATTTTTTAGCTTTAAGTATTCACACCTACACTACAACTACTACCTTTATTACCCTTTTTAATTTTACGTTTTTTTCTCCTACAAATTACATAAGTACAGAAAAAATGCAAAGTTTTATATTTAGAAATATAAAGAAGAGAATAAGAATTTTAAATAAAAATAACTTGTAGAATCAAGTTGAAAAAAATCGTAGACAGAGGTGTTGACTCGTATCTTTCTGAATAATGTTGGGTTAGGACGATTTTTGGTAAACACGTTGCGTTTGTTTATAAACATCGAACAGACACTGTACGCTTGGTAAATATCGAACAATGCTCAAACATGTTGGGCAAATTAAAGAAAACATGTTTAGTTCAAATTGTTGGAAAGAGAAAAATATTTCCTATTTGTACATGAATTGAAGATAAAATCAGAAAATTTGTTCTTCGTCTTAACAGGTAAAATTGATATCTAGAAATATTAATGGGTTGTAATAATTGGGGGAAAATTAGTTTTAATATAAGAAGCCACAAAACGAATTAGGGAATGCACAACATTATGATCATTTTCATTGAGATTCATTTTGAAACAGGTTATTTTAAAAAACGAGTTGTTTCTTAATATTTTTCTAATACCATTTGATTAGATGTTGCAAAAAATGTTATTGAACTTATAGTTGAGGTAGTCACTGTCACATTAGATCTAAGGGCAAAAAGTAAGGGGATAAACAATATCGAGTACTGTAGGTGGTGTACGTAAGTAACCGTCAATTTTGTGGATACCTTCGACATTTGAATGAAGCAAATTGGTTCCTCCTTTCTTCTCTTATTGGAGCCTATGCCCTTGGTTTTGCACGACAAGCATTAAATTGAAAAGGTGGCAGAAACCATGGTACAATAAGGATGTAGAACAGCTTCGTAAAACTACAGAAATACAGCCCTTAGGCTATGTCGGCTTCCTGTCAGAATTATTCAAAATTTAGGACAACATAACGATTCCGCCCGATAATCGGTGTTTTGATCATTTTTGAGTCATTATTCACTGGAATTGTTTCAAATTTCGTAATGGTTACTACAGCATATGACAAAAATTGGGCATGCAGGTCCACGTCTTTGTGTAGCCCCCATATAACGAAACCGCCCGAAATTCGGTAGTTTTATAATTTTAGCGACATTTTTCGCCGGAATTTTTGCAAATTTTGTGTTTTAAGTTCGTAATGGTAAGAGAACTTATGACAGAATTTGTCTATGCAGGTCAACGTCTTCGTATAGACCCCATATAACGATACCTCCCAATATTCTGCGCTTTTATAATTTAAGCAACTCATTTGCAGGAATTTCGTATTTGATGATGACGGAAAATTGTCCACATTTAACGATACCTTCAGGTATTCGGTATTTTTGGTATTGAGTATGCAGGTCCACGTCTTCGTATAGCCCCCATGGTATTCATTTTTGACGGCTTTTTTTTTTAAATTTCTTCCTCATCGTGGATGGCATTTAAAGTTCCGCCCTGTCGAACATAGCAGTTTTTTTACTTGTTATCTGCTAATTTAATATGTTTCCATTCAAAAAAGAAAAAAAAAATTTATAGTTTCGACAAATTTAGCACTTTTTCGGCTATTTGGTTACTTTGCAATGTAAAATTTAACGTCATAATGCCCTGAGGGTTTTTTAATGATTATTTTGGTTGTACATTATTATGCACATATCTCATGTAAAGTATATAGTCCAAATCAGATTTAGATCTGGGCTTCAATTATTGTTCCATGAAAATGTAAAATTAAAACTTAAATAAAAAAAAAGAAATATCAAATGAAAAATTTTAAAATGGAAACATCTTTCATTTCATATTTTCATAAAACAAGAATCCAACCTCAGGTGCGTAAATGGACAATATTTGCCCAATTATCTGGTTAGTTCTCTTTAAAGCGTCAACATTCTGAATAATCATTACGCAAGCCAGAATATTTTTTATATAAACGGATATTGGATGGCTGATAGTATAAATCTGAGGGCAAAACCCACTAAAATTGTAGGACTTGGTTAATACTTATTTTGAGAAAATATATGTAAATCATGGGCTAGAAAAGTTATGTTTTCCACAGATTATTTTAATTTTAATTCTGCTGCCGAATACTTTGCAAATGGCTTGCCTAATAGTTTTTTACACTTCACGAAAAATACCATTATTATTGGTTGAAGGCAAAACTCAATTTTATATTTCCAGTCATTGCAGACACAAACCATATGCAGTACTAACGAAACTGTCTTATCGACACCGACAAAGAGTAATGCCGATAAACATGTAAATGGTTAGTGTTCTTTTCATGCAAAGCGTTAAACGGTCGGCTGTTCACAGAAGACTTAGAAAACCTTCCATCTTTAGAAGCCATTTAGAAAAACATATTTACATAGAAGACCTTTAGAAATGCATCTAATCATAGAAAATCTTTAGGCGAGATTTAACTACAAAAATCTTCTAATAAGAGGCTTGTTCTAAGCATATAAAAAACTAGGTTTTTCTAACCATAGAGAATCCTTACCAGATGTTCTTATCCTTTGAAAAATGTCTTACGTCCATAGAAGGTTTTTTATTTGTGAAACGATCTATCTATCAAGGGGGTGTATGAATTGAAGATCTTGTAGATGAAAAAACCGCAACGAACTTTAGACTGCTGTCATTTCAAAGCCACTCCTCCGACAGCTATTAAAATTATTCCAGTGACAGCTCATTATATTGTTTACAAGAGTACAAAAGCATTTTGGTGAGAATTTTCCAGAAAAAAAGTTATTCGCGGCGGCAATTAAGCATGATAGTGTGATTTCTTTATATTTGGCTGGAAAACCACAAATGGCTATCGTTAGAGCACCCCAGCTTTTACATGTGAATAAATCGTTTGTGTCTCGTAACATCGCTCGTTACCGTGACACTGGTAGCGTAGCCCGACGTCAAGGAAGTGGACGAAAGAAAACAGCAACATCATCAGGAATGTTTTGAAAAGAACAGAAGCGACTTGATCGAAACCCGCAGTGGCCGAAAAATGGCTCATGAGCTGAACATATCGCAATATTCCATTCGGCAAATATTGAAAAATTAGCTCGGGGAAAGGCCATTGAAATTCCAAAAAGTGCAAGAACTTACACCGCAACAGAAAGAAAGTAGACTCAAAAGAGCTAAAGAGTTGCTTCGCTTGACCGCAATTGGTGAACTGCCGAATTTGATTTTCTCCGATGAGAAAACATTTTATAAACAAACAAAATGATCGGGTTTACTTGCCAAAGAGGTCAGCTGAAAATGTGCACCTTCGGTTGGCCTCCAGAATATAAGTGCCGACCATGGTGATGGTGTGGGCCGCCATAACTGCCGATGGTCGCTCTCCGCTCATAGTAATCAACCGTGGCATCAGAATAAATGCCGAATATTATTGCGAAAATATTCTGGAGGCTGTATTAATATCGTGGGTCCTTAAACATTTTGGCCGCAGACCTTGGACATTCCAACAGGACTCAGCACCATCGCACTCAGCACACGCCACCCAAGAATGGTTACAAAATGGGTTTCCTTGCTTAATTTCCAGCGCACAATGGTCACCAAAATCTCCGGATACCAATCCGTTGGACTATTGTATCAGGAGTATTTTGGAAAGCAAGGTTGGCACTAAAAAATACCAGAATGTCGATCACCTCAAGCAAGCGCATCGCCAGGAATGACCCAAAATACCGCAGAGCAACATTCGGGCAGCGTGAGACGGTTTCATTAGCCGTTTGAAGGCCATAATTCGTGCCAAAGGTGACCAATTTCAACAAATGTAAACTTATTCTAAAATTTGATGCTATTTCCGACTTTCATTCAATAAAATTAAAAAAAAAAAAACAAGTTAAAAAGTAGTAAGTTCGGCCCGGCCGAACTACCATTTGAAATGAATTTGAAAAAATAAAATCCTTAAAAAAATTCGGTTAAGATTTTAAAAATACTGAATATAGCCATTGCGGTCTATACGACGTGGACCTACATACTCATTGTTTGTCAAAAGCCATTACCGTATTCAAATTCGAAACTTGGAATAAATGTAGCTAAAATCATCAAAATATCCTATATAGGGAGATACCGTTATATCGGAGCTGTTCGAAGATCTGGACCACCATAGACAATTTTCTGTCATAGGCTGTTGCATCCATTACGAACTTCAAATACGACATCTCAAACAATTTCGGTAGGCATTGTACCTAAACTCGTCAAAATACCGAATATAGGGAGGTACTGATATATGGGGCCTATACGAAGACCTGGGCCTGCACAAACAATTTTCTGTCTTAGGGTGTAATATTCATTTCGGACATCAAATACCAAATTTGAAGCAATTTCGGTGAATAATGTCGCTAAAGTCAACAAATATGGGGGCTATATGAAAACGTGGACCCACATGACCCATTTACAAACCTAACCTGCCTACTGGAAAAATAAACATATGTGTAAAACTTTAGCCTTCTATCTCAATTCATTCGAAAGATAGCGTGATTACAGCAGACTGACGGACAGACAGAAAGCCGGACAGACAGAAAGCCGGACAGATAGACGGAATTTTACGCTGATCAAGAATATACATACTTTGTTGGGTCTGACGTGAGTATTTCGAGGTGTTACAAACGGAATGACAAACTAAATACTACTATGGTGGAGGGTATACAAATGCAAAAATAATGGCGTTTGACTTTGTTGCAGTTTTTTTTTATCTCATCCTGTATTTTAGGAAATTAGCCAAGAAATCCATATGGTGACTCTCTTGAGTGCTGAAGTTTTCGGTGAAAAAAACCTCGTAACTTTGCCAGAGGGCACATTTCCAAAACCACTTCAACATCTTAACCACATACACCAACAGAGACCTAAATAACAAATTTCGGGATTCCTGCCTTATTCCTTCACCCAATACCAATTTTAGTATTATTATTATTATTATTATTATTATTATTATTATTATTATTATTATTATTATTATTATTATTATTATGTACCTGAAATGCAAGGATTCCAAGGAATATTAATCAAGAAATTAACAAAATGACTAATTCTTTTTAACTTGTTTTTAAAGAGTCTCCTTTTCATTAAAGTTTTTTTTTGCAGAAGACTTTGTAAAGGCCTACGAATTATATAGTAGAAGGACTTTGGAGAATCTACAGAGGTATTTGTTTAATATCAGAGATTTTGAAGAG